AATATTATGCATAAAGAGCTCACGGCTCGTCCACATTTTATGCTCTATATGTCCATTTGTCTTCTCTTTATGGCTGAAATATCATCTAAAATACTCTGCCGATTTGCAGCCAAAATGAAATTCCATCCTCAGGAAATATCTCAACCATGCTGCTTATAAGTATTCTATATTCGTTTGCTTTTCATGTGGAAAATGTCCTAGTTTTGCATTATTTCGAATCGGATTTTTTGTTGTTTCTGCAATAAATCTGCGTGAGTACAGTATGAACACAGAAAATAATCTAATCGATTTTGATTCTGGGAATCATAGAAAACAAATTTCCAGCCGCCCTTTATGTGTTATGCATGAATCTAATAGTTATTTTCGCCAGCCATCTCACTCGAAATTCATTTTCAATTTGCTATTCCATTTCTCCGCTCTGTCCGATTGCAAACAGAAAGTTACACATTTTCAAAGCAAGAAGGAAACGGTTTAGTCGCTGAATTTGCAATTCAAACGTTGTTTTCCAGTTAAATGAGAAGCAATCACAGCTCAGCGGGCAGAAATGCCCCGCCATCGTTTGAAGTTACGACTTATAGCTTAACTGTTAATTAATTAGAGTAGGTATACATGCGAGAAACTGTCCGGAGAATAGTTGGGGAAAGAAGGCGGCAATTAGTTGCGACGGCCTCTCAAACTAGCGACTAAAATTACGATTAATTGCAATCAAAATGGCCAACTTAACTGCACGTCTGGCCAAAAGTGGCCATTTTCTGTGCTTGTAATTCCGAATGAAGTGAAATGCTCACCAAGTGTGAAGTGAGGCTTGCTCTATGTTTATTTGAAGTCCGCATGTCGATTTCTGTGCTGTCTGTTGCACCATGAGCAATAGAGGCAGATAGTGCAAGAATGGCTAAATAGACCAAAGCTCAGGACATTTCATAAATTAATGCGGGGCTTTTTCTATTGAAGATAAAAATGTCCGAACTTTTGTATGCATGAAGATCCTCCATCTTTTGGAGTAGTTTGCTGCCGCAAAACCGAACTCTTTGAACAGGGTTCATCATTTTATTCCTTTTGATCGTTCTTATGTGTTTTGACTTCATTTTCATCTCTTCGATCTTAGCAACTAGATTCATTTTTCGCTCTTTTGTTTAGTTCTAATGTCAATCTCAGCTAACTGATTTTCCATCTGATTCCACAACCCTCCTGCTTTCACATCAGTCAGTTAGATAAAAGCGTATGTTTCCCTTACAACGTTTACTTACTAAATAAAACTTTATTTTTCTGTTTGAAAAGCATGCCGATATTTTAAATTGATCCATTCCACTTAAACCGACGGAGTTTCTTAACAAGTTATTTCCCTGTAGCGTTTGCCCTGACTCGACATTTCAAGAACTCGCATGGGAATTTCTGCAAAGGAATGCATCGGTTGCAGGTGCATCCAATTCTCGAAGATTTAATCCCTGATTTCCTATTCGGCAATTTCAGTTCGCTTTGATTTACCATCTGGCAGTCCGTGTAATTTGAATCATTAAATCGCGTTTCAGTTCCAAGAATGATACCGATGGAAAATTTAATGATTTAAAATTACTTCAAAACTCGTTCCGATATTTCACAAAACTGAGGTTTTTTGCATTGAGAAACTCTTTTACACCAAAAAAATGTATGTTCATGTTATGCCGTTTTGCTAATATTGTCAACGAGAAATGAGCGGAAAACGGTATTACAAAACCCGGCGGAATTGTGCAAGGAAAATACTTTGTAATGCCGTTTTCATATCCCTGCAGGCACTGCTTAGAATGCGCATTTTACGAAACACTGCAACCTAATTCCCGGCACTACCATTCCACTTTGTGACAAATTTAATTGAAATTCGAATTTTCCAACCATGTGTTTTTGAGAAGCGTTGCAACAAAACATTACTTAATTAGTGGGTACATTACCTGGTAAACTGATTGAGAATAATAGTCCCTTTTAGTGAAAGATTAAATCCGCCTAGAACTGGCTCACTGTAAATCACCCCAATTAATCGGATTTTATGTATTGTTTAAGGTTCTTGCAGCTGTAATCTCGTATTTCCTTTTATAAGTAGGTACAGCTAAATAAAATCTCTTACAGAAAACATGATATTTTTAGTTTGATAAGGCACTGATTTAACAATGCAATTTTTCTTGAGCCCATCTTTAATAAACATACATCCGGAACTTCGCGACTGTTCTCTAAGGCCAAATAAATAACGTTTTCGTGGAGTTCAGCTCGTAACCATTTCGGCTTTTCCCTACTTCACGTCAGAATGGAAATCCGCTGAAATGAGGAAAGAACAAAATAAAATCGCGTATTATAATGCAGTGAAATTTGCTTGGAAACTATCGCATTTATTTTCGCTTACTGGCATCCGAATAAGAGCAAAAAACAGGCGTCGTTGGCGAAAAGCGAAGAAATATTAATTTTATATATCCTAAGAGTTTCGTCTTATCTAATCTAAAGTTAGTCTATATTGATCGAAAAATGCGCGTTTTCACTCAAATGCACGGTAAGCTTGAATAATTTATAATTTCTCATCCAGTGCAAGTAGCGAGGTGAACCTGCCCCAGGATATAGGAGATAGTTGACTCTGGATCTCCTGCGAATGTTATTCCAATAGTACTAAAATATAAGTTTTCGAACATCGAAAGGTTGACCTAAGAATTACCGTTTCCAGCCAAGAGAACTCTACTTTTGAAAAATTAGTAACTCCTAAGATAGAGCCAACAGACACTTGAAACTTGTACCACCTAGACACAGTACTTCAGGCTAAATTTCCTGAAAATTGCATTGAAATCAGAGTTAATGGTGATTTTTGCGGACTTGGTCAATGTTGGGCTGAAAATGGCCGAATATGCCCAAGAGCACTCGGCGCTTGAAAAAGTACGTAACTTCTAATCCAGAACAAGCAGAAACTTGCAACTTTGACAACCCAGAGTAAATATTCGCAGCTTTAGTTTGTAAAAGTTTGGTTCAAATCAGAGATCATCCTGATTTTTGCGGACTTGTTGTTTCCAATGTTGATCCGAAAATGTTCGTTTTTAGCCAAGGGCAGTTTATGCCCGAAAAATGTATGAGCATTACTGCGCTAAAAAAACTACCAAAACTTAACGAAAAGTAAGCCAAACTTGAAATTTTTAGCAGGAATGAAGCGTTCTGTTCTCCATCTGATGCAGTTAATACGAATTTTGTTTTAATTTTCAAATTTGGAAAATGATGTCGAATTTGGTAGTGAATGAACGGTTATCCCCTTTGTATTTGAAAAATCATCAACAAATGAAGCGTCATAAGGGAAAATTGAAAATTTGCACACTAATAAGGCAACTTTTTCTCTATGTGATCACATTAATCCAGACGCTCTGTCTCGTTCCAATTTTTTGGGACATTTGTATAAAAAAAAATTACACGGGTCCCCAGAGAGAATAATACATTTTGGCGCAAAACAAATTAAGCAAATGCTTGCCAGATTTGCAAATTCCAGCAAAAATTAGGGCATTTTGTTCTCTATTTGATGGTTTTGCTAAAAGTTATTAGCTTTAAAAAACCTATTTTAAAATTGGTGGAAAATGCGCAATAACCGGGTTTGTGTTTAAAAATCACCTACAATTGAAAAATTATGCAATAAATGTCGATATTTCCACAATAATAAACCTGGATTTTCTCTATCGAGTCGCGTTTATTTCGACTTTCTATGTGCTTCCAGCTTTAAGGGATAATTTTATGAAAAATTGTTACACACAATTCCATTGAGAATAATACACTTTGCGCCAAAAAGTTCACAAACAGTTAGCGAAAATGACTGGCAATTTTCACCAGGAATGAAACTTTTCTTTCTGTATTTGATGGTTTTAATATAAAGTTTTTGTTAATTTTCGGTTTTGGAAAATTGTGCTGAAGTAGATGAAAACTGAAAGGGACTCAGACTTCGTATTAAAAAAATTACCAACAATTGTGCAAATTGCCAGGCTATTATTTTTTTTTCCTCTCTTTAGTCCTAGCGTTAATCCAGATATTTTATTGGTTTGAAATTTTGAACCACAATAATAGGAATATCTCGAGTATTACAGTTTTGCGCTAAAAAAAATCATCAAAAATTAACGAAATAAGTGCCGAATCCGCAAATGCAGCGAGAATATTTATTGGATTCAATATAAATTTTTCTATTCACTTTTGCTGGAAAGTGATTGCTACCCGGGTTTGCATCAAAAATCCTCAATAGTTGAGGAATGATGTAAAAAATGCATTTTTGCTTTAATAAAGCCAGATTTTTGCTATAAAATTGATAAAGCAAAGTATTTTATTAGTTGTCAATGTTTTTAAACAGCGTACTATATAGAAAACACTACAAAATATCGTGCTGAAAATAAAGTTATGAAACGAACGGAAGTTTTCAAAATTGAGTTGTCTCTTTGTTGATGTTGTATCTATCTATTGCATCTTTTGAGATGAAACGTATATTTTGTCTAGAACTTTGAAATTTCCACAATACGAAAACCAGTCCTGCTTTATTAACTGGCATCAAAAGCCATTTTTCAGCGATTTTCCATTTTCAATTAACTTTTGAAAATATTTTATCACAATCTGATCTGCAACCAAATGAACTCTTCAAGGCTTTGAACAGAAATATTTGCAAGAAATCGCCGCAACTAGCAAACAACTTGCAAACTGCCAAACTAATGGAATAAAATGTGTGTGCTATTTTATAGAGGTAACATCAGTTCCCTATTTATTAACATAACTGGATCCTCCAGAAGTGATGTCGAAACAATTTCGATCAAGACTTGCTATTATTAAAAGGAAAATGAACAACATTTAGGCAAATTTAGATGCCATGAAGAACAAATTAGGGAAACAGTTAAATAAAACACTCCGAATTATTAGAGCCATCGACCTCATTCCGAAAAATCACCCCCCAGGTTTATCTGACAGAAAAAACCAAAAGACGTGGATTAATCATGATTCATTAACTCAAATACTGTCCCTTTCCATTTCAGAGGACACCCTGGCAGGCAATCAGATGGTCAGATGCAGAGGGTCAACTAACTGAAATTTATCTTCCAATAAAATGGATATCAATCAATCGGCACTAGTCATTTGCAGGTCGGACAGCAGGCGAAGGAAATAGACATTTATATGGGATGGATACTGGAAAATACTTAAGTGAGTAGCGACTCGATCTGTTTTACTCGTTTGGAGGTCTAAAACTGCTTGAGTTCACAGTTACGTTCAAATTCAATTCAGTTCAAATTTTATTGGACATTTTTAGAGAACGCTTCTTCAATGTACTACAACACGACGTTCGACGATGTTCAGAATGATTTATCCGACGACGAAGACATTTGGGACAACCTCTTGCTCTTCATCAAGGCAACGATCATGGGAAGCATCATCATAGCGTCGATCTTCGGCAATCTGCTCGTCATCGTTTCGGTGATGCGACACAGAAAATTGCGCGTTATCACCAACTACTACGTCATATCGCTAGCGCTAGCTGATATGCTTGTCGCTATGTTCGCTATGAGTTTCAATGCCAGCGTCGAGATCTTCAACCGATGGCTGTTCAGCTATCGACTGTGCGATGTCTGGAACAGTATGGATGTGTACTTTTCCACAGTGTCCATCCTGCATCTGTGTGATATCAGTATAGACAGGTAGGAAGGTTCTTCTGGGGAATTTGCTAGGTACTTAGAAACGGGTTACAGGTATTACGCCATATGTAAGCCACTGAAGTACTCGCTACACATGACGAAAAAAGTGGTAGCCATGATGTTGGTGAACACTTGGGTGAGTCCCGCCTTCCTCAGCTTCCTCCCAATCTTCATGGGCTGGTACACCACCAAAGAGCACCAAGAGTTCAGGCGGAAGCACCCAGATGAGTGTGTGTTTGTGGTCAACCAAACTTATGCGGTTATCAGCAGCAGCATCAGCTTCTGGATACCGGGGTCGATCATGATCTACATGTATTCGCAAATATTCAAAGAAGCCAATAGGTGGGTCGCACTTTGTTTTCTAACTAAGAATAACTGATGGGGTTCATCCGTTGTGCAGGCAGGAAAAGGAAATGTTCAACCGACATGGAGCTGCCATGCTTCTTCATGCGAACAACACGAATGGAGACATGCTGTCGAATTCAGGCGGCTCCTCCAAGACGCTCACATTGCACGAAATCAACCAAGACCTGCATCACACCCCTACAAGGGAGCGAAGCATTAGTCGAATGAAGAGAGAACATAAGGCTGCAAGAACTCTGGGAATTATCATGGGTAACTTGAAGAACCCTCCTCTATTCCTGCCAACCGTTTGTTTATTTCCTCAGGTATATTCATACTGTGCTGGCTTCCCTTCTTCCTCTGGTACGACAGCGTGACGTTTTGCACCACGTGTGAATGCCCCCACTTAGTAGTGGCCATGTTGTTCTGGATTGGCTACTTCAACTCCACCCTCAATCCCTTGATCTACGCCTACTTCAATAAGGACTTCAGGGAGGCGTTCAAGAACACGCTCCAATGCGCCTTCTGCTCACTCTGTCAAAGGCCTCCGTCCGATCTGAACTACATCGATCAGAGGCGGCCCAGTGTCAGGTATGAGGATCGGACTCGAAGTGTTTTTTCCGAAACGTACTTGAAACACAACGTGGACAGGAGAAGTTCGGAGTTTGGGTCGACTCTTTGAGTGGACCTCACTAGCAGCCGATTGACCACCACGAGTTTCTGATTGGAAACCTGGGTGTAAGGTTTGGTGGAGAATTTTTCCAGTTTGGATTGCTTGAGTGTTTTATACAGTCTGGGATTTTTCGCGAAAACACCAATCGATCCGGAAAGTACACGTTCCTTTACTCGTCTTGCTCCAGCTGGGGATTTCAATCAACTAGCTGACAAAGGATTTTTTTGGCTGGCTTCTGCTGAAGAATTTGCTCAGCATACCTAATCCAGGATGATTAAGAATGTAATACAAATATTCTAGTGTGGTGTAAGATAGGCGAAGTGCAACGCGTAGCTTAGGAGTGATTTTAAACGAAACCTTCGACAATCGGCTGCTAGTTCGTAAATATTTGCCAAAGTTAACAAATAATGGTGCTGTATATTGTAAGATTTTTTACTGCAATTGCCTTTTCCAGACAAATATATGCGCTAGAAATTACAGAATAAGACCGATGGCAGCCCCAAATCGAGTTGTTTAACCGCCAGAATCATCTGGCTTTAACCGGTTTTGCATCACGGTTCATAATGAGTGTCGCAAGTGGAAGCGAAACGTTGTTCTGGAGTAAACTCGGTTCTTGACTGTTCCATTGCGGTGCTTGAAGTCGAACAAGTGGATACATTTTTCATGCTCCTTTTCTTCAAAAAAATTATGTTTTTTTAAATATCTGGACGAAGTTAATGAAATTCGCTGTGAATTTGTTTATGTGTAATCCTCATGTTTTGATGAAACAAGCGAGATCATCCGCTTTGGGCGAGTGAGGAATTTTTGAATGTCTTGGTACGAAAACTACCAAAAGTTTGTTTTGGTAGCAGGAATCAGGTGATTTTTTTCGAGTTGATGCGGTTGGGACATTTTCGGACCCTTTCTAAAGTCTTGTAGCAATCGCAGTTTTTGCGCAAAAAAATTATTTCTGTTTTCTTGCTAATTACATATTTCCCGATACTTCCCCGATATTACAAAAAACTTAATTTAAGTTTTACTCATGTAAACAGTTAATGAATGTCTAAAATTGTCAGTCGGCAAGAGAAAAGAAATATTTTTTGCGCAAAAACTGTGGAAGCTACAAGATTTTTCAGAGGACAAAAATGCAACAAAAGGATTAGTGCATCAATTCAGAAAAAATCTGTAAATTCCAGCTACCAAATGAAAAGTTCTGGTGGATTTTGCACCAAGACACTTACGAATTCCTCACTTGCCCAAATCGGATAAACCTGGTGGCTTCATCAAAATTTGAATCTTATATAAACGCAACTCACGGCGAGTTTTTTTAACATCCCTCGTATCATTGTCTCGGTATTTTAAAAAAGATAATGTTGACCATCAATAGCCAGATTTTTATCGAAGTAAAAGTTAGATCAGATCGTCTTCTTTTGCTCCAAAAAATATCGTAGTACCCTTTTGATCATGTGCTTACGGGACACCGTGTGTAAAAGGAACAGCTTAAATACTAGTATTTGTCGGGAAAATGCAGTGAATTCATAATTAAGAGTACATAAGTGATAGATAGATACGAGAATAAAAAAATAGAGATTAATACTAGATAGGACTTAGCCACTAATTCCTAAGCGTGTGTAAGTTTCTTTTGTACCTTCGGGCAAATAGTAATTGTATAGATATTTGCCAAGAACTGCGTAATAAAATCTACTAACGATGTTGTATAAATATTTATGTATAACTGTATATTCGTCGATTAAAGAACTGTTGTATATAAGCGAAAGAAATATTAAGCAGCATTTTCGAATTACTTTTATCTTTGTTTAAGCGTCGGAACTGGCTCATTTCAATCAACTGTTGATTTTCGCATTCTTCAAGACTAAACGGTTTTATTGTTTGAAATTTATATGGAATTTAGTGGGCGAGATTTTTCATATTTGCTGTTTCAAGCAGGATCAACCGACAAGGAGATCACGCAGTCATTGATGCAAAAACCCACATTTTTCACTCGGAATTAGGAAACCTGCATAATATAAAGTACTTGTGAATTTTATTGGAGCAAATATTTATTAACTGTAATCTGAATATTAAAGGTAAGTACAAAGAATTGTGCAGAATTTTGGAATGGAAATTTGCAGTTCAATTCTGTGCATGTCCATTTGTTAAATATTGTCTGGATGATTTAGTTTGTTTGCCTCAAAAACACACCAGATGGATAAGACACACATCAAGATAAGCAGAGCTTTAAACTGATTGGATTAATTATTTCCATAAAATGTGCCAAGATGGGGAAACTGAGTTCAGTTGATTTGCAATTTTTGCAACTTGACTGCAATCAGTTTCAAAACGCGAAATTGCGTCATCAAAATTCCGATTAACAAGTTGTTTTTGATGCGAAATTTATCACCCAAATTGAGACTTATCGTTGCCATTTTCTGTCTACTCCTGTATATTAATTTCTGAATTTATTCCCTATCGCAAAAAGATACATTCTGCAAAACAGCCGCAGAATATTTAAATGAAAATTCTACTTTCCACAATATTCGCTCAACATTTAATAAATGCAGTTGCTACAAATGAGAATATTTCCCCAGTTAAACGTTTTCCAGGTTTATTTCCTGCTTGTTATTAAATACCTGTATGAAAACTAATCTTGTAAAATACAATGAGTATTTTAATAAAATATTTTACAATAGAGTGACTCGCTCTTCAACAAAGTCAAGTACCGAATTTTCATAAAAACCGACAAATCTTTTCCACTTTAAGACAAAAGATTCTTCTTTTTTCATGTGTCCTATCCGTTGTTCTGCCAAAAAAAGTTTCAGCCGAGTAATTTTTTAATTTTTTTTGCGTATCTGTATCGTCTGTTCCAGTATCGTGTCGAACTCAGCCAAAGGTTTGATTAAGGTCGATAAAGATGTCCGTTTGGATAAAAAACTTCATTCTGGAAAATGTGCGCGTTTTGAAGGCGTTTTTCAAGTCCTCCAAAGACTCTTCAAAATCCTCCTCACATTTTCTTCTAGTCCGAGCGTGAATAATGCTGAAAAATGCCTAAAGCATGTGCAACATAAGGCTGATTAAACGATAATCACCACACTTCTTCGTTGAATTCTGTGTGAATTTGCTATTTTTCTTTCCACCCATATCTGCTATAGAGGATGCATGCTACAATGAATTGGATTTGATCATTTGCAAGTTACATGGCTGTTCTCTTGGTTTGGACTTCTTGCTTCTTTGCCTTCTTGTACCTGCATATTCAAAATATAATGTTAAATGTTATTAAAAAAAAATTCTGTTTCTCGGCATCTTCTGAATTTTTTCTAATACTTGTGAGTGTGGAGTTTTTAATCTGTACTCTATTTTTTTAGGCGTAAAATTAGACTGATGTTATTCCAAAAGGCTTCCATACCTTTGGGATGACTCCTTGCAGTTCAGCCACTGTAATTTCAATAACAATACTTTTGCACGCGATAATTTTCAATTTATATGCCTTCTAACACAAGACCACTTGCGCTGATGTGAAGATGATACCATTAAAATTTCGAGGGTTTTTTTGGGTTTGGAAAACCAATTTTCATGCTAATTAATGTCTGGATGCTTTGCCGTTAAACACTCAATTGACTAGAATTAATCTATTAAAATGTTCAGCAAGACAGAATAAACTGCGTGAGCTAAAAAAATTACATTCATTTCTAGTGCCTTAACGGTTTACTATTACATTGTTGTAATTTTGGCCAACTGGAAAGGCAGTTAGTTACTTCGTAGCGAAATACAATCACTTTGACTACTAGAGAAAATTAAAACTAAGTGTGTAGAATAATAAAAGGGAATTAAAGCAATAAACTGTAAATTAAGTAAGAAGTATGTTGTTGAAATTTATTTTTATCAGTTGAAAATTACACATATTTTTTGTATTTTACTTTCAAACCTTGGATTGACGCAAAATTCGGTAGCAAATTAGCAAGGTCTACTAAAAATTATGAAAATTACTAGATGTTGTAAATGTCTCAGTGTTCTATGTAAAGTAATGTAAGAAGTCCTGTATTTTATTTACCAAATATATTCAAAGAGCCAGTATTGGAATTTTGCTGTTTAGCATCGATGTAAATATTTTTTTATCGCGACGCTTCAAGGGCGCCTTTGAATTTCATTATGTATGTACTTAGTTCGTTTAGATGTATTATTTTAAGTACAAATGTTGAAAAAAAAAGTTTCATCCATGTGTTCGCTGTCGATTTGCCAGGAAAATCCATCAAATTATCTTTGTACAGTCGCTTTATAATTTACATTTTCATTAACTATGTTGTAAGTTTTTATAAAGCCGTAATATGACTCTAGTGCTATTTTTATCACTAAGGTATTTAAGATATTTGTTTTTCCAATAAAATACTAACAAATGTACAAACTGCATGGTTTTCTTGATAAAACAAACGGGTGTCGGAAAATGTTGGAATTCCCACGCACTTAACTCTATTCTGATTTATTTTCTTGACTGCGTGTACTTGTTATGATATTCCTATATTTCCTGGGTTTCAGTCAAAGTGTGAAGTAAAAATTTTGAAATATCGTTTATTTTATTACGTTTCGGCGAGACAACAGCGTTATCATCAGATTTAAAATTTACACAAACTACAAAAATCAATTCAGAATTAAAACATGTTGTATAAAAACTATCATTTATAAAACGATGAAACATTTATCAGTTCTTGAGGGAAAAAATCCTCCCTTTTAGGAGAGCAAAACATTTGAAAAACTTACCTCATAATTGGTAAACATCACGTTCTTTTAGGCCTTTGCCTTCTTGAAACCTTAAATTTGTCTGAATTACTTTCTACATTTGCGAGAATGGTATCAGACAAATTTAAGGTTTAAAGAAGGCCCTAAAAGTTTGTTTGTTTGTTTGATGTTTATCAATTGAGGTAAGTTTTTCAAATGTTTTGCTCTTCCAAAGGGAAGGATTTGTTCCCTCAAGAACTGATGAATGTTTTATCGTTTTATAAATGATAGTTTTTATACAACATGTAGGTAAGTTGCGTCTTGAGACAAACTCAAGGTTTTCAAGAAGGCAAAGACCTAAAAGGACGTTGATTTTTACCAATTATGAGTTTGTGTAAAATTTTAAACCTGATGATGGCGCTGTTGTCTCGTCGAAACGTAATGAAATAAACGATGTTTCAAAATGTTCACTTCACACTTTGACTGAAACCCAGGAAAGATAGGAATATCATAACATGCACTTAACATGAGCAGTTTAGAAAAACCCTTGTTTGGCTCCTGTTTTCCCAACACCCTGTACTTGAATTCCAAGATGCGTCACAGTTTCAAATTGCTTGAAACCCACAAATTCAGTGAATTTCTGGGGGTATTTCCGCGTCAAATGGATTTAAGTTTAATGAGCAAACCGTTCGAAAGGTAACGTATCGCTAACTGTATCATTATCTTTTAAGCCTCAGTGATTAATAGTCGACATTTCACATCAATTATTTCCCCAGTAAATAATTAACTTTTGAACTGGCTTTGTATCATAAAAACAAACATCTTAATCTTATCGTTAGCAATCAGCATACTTTGCTATATTTCTGATAGTCAACTTTAGTTGCTCCATCTGCTTCGATAATCCTGCCCGGATCTCGGGTTGAGCTTTCCAGTATTTTGCCGAAAATCAACCGGAAATGATCAAATGTTTGTGCGGCCGCAGCGAAAGCTACACAATCACAAAACCAGGCTCAGTGCATTCAATAATCGGTAATTATTAGTAAGCAAACGAACAAACATCCTTGGACTTCAAGTGTGAATCTTTCAAGTGAGACTTTTTGTTACACATTTGAAAACTTGGATGTTTTTTTTGGTGGGTGATTTTTTTGGGTGGATCATTGCAGGAAATGGCCGTGCTTCTTCGAAACCAATTGTACGACCAATAACGCCTCCTTTGGTCGATCCGGCTCCAAAAGACCAGCGGGACAACGATGAAGGTTTGCATAATGAATCCAGCAAGGGAACTAAAAAAAGCGAAAGCTTTTTTAAAGCTTTAGCAACCGATTTGCCGCCGCCAGCGGCGGAACCTGGTGCAGATGAACCCGCAGGTTCAAACCATGAGGGAACGGTAACACACACAAAAGGTCCAGCACCCAACCCAACAGCAGCAAATCCAGATAAGGAATTGGGGAGTAGTTTAGGGAATCCGGTAGGGGCTACTCAAAGCAAACGCACTAAACATCGGGCACCTGAACCAGATACAGATAAAAAACCAAATCCTCCAAGTGAAAATTCTGAGCAGGATCCCGAGTTGCTCCATCCAGACGGCTTAACGGGTTTACCGGATGGTAAGTGCGAATGAACATTTTTATACCAAAACCTCCTCTTTGGGTTAATCAGCCAATTCAGTGCAACGATTATATCAAGAGCGTGTTGGTCTTAGGTAGGAAAGTTAGCGTCAAAGATCCACCCGAAGAAGAACATAATCAGAGCGTAAGAAGACCGGGAGTGCAAGCGAGCGTTCCTTCGGATGCGGAAGTTGCTTCCAACGAGAACTTGCCCTCATATCCCAAAAGTGCCCAGTAAGTTGAAAATGTTTCAAACCAATGTGGAAAAGGACAACACTTTTCGAGTAATTGCACTCAAATCCGACAAAACTGTCGCTTTCGTTTATACCAAACACTTTGGCGTGATTGACGGGCCTCTTGAAAACATCCAAATAGTTGGATATCGGATAATCTCAGTTGCTTTTAGAGATAAACCGGATTATTTGTGGAGCTTGAAAAGATACAGGATATGCGTAATTGTTTACTTTTTCCATATAATTTCAAGATTTCAACAGCGCAGCTCATCCAAACACCAAAAACTCCATACTAACGCACGTTTACAGGATGTTTAAAAAGTCCTGCATTAGCAAGAAGTCTTTCAGGTCTTGCGCCACCAAATCCGCTTACATTTTGAGTCGAAAATAAGGCGAGATGTTTTGCAAACACCCCGATTGTGTTACACCTAAGCTCAACTAAGTGTTGCTGCTAATGCGATTTTCTGTTCTATTAAAAGGGATGCGGATCAGATTAAAAAAGCCATAGAAACGAACGAATTCCTCAGCCGTTTGTTCTATGGGAATCGGCTGCAAGACATCATCAACGGCATGCAGCTGAGGTCGGTTCCAGCAAAGAAAACCCTGATAAAACAAGGTAAAAAATCACACCAACCTGATCATCTACATCTACAATGATCATTCAATTTTCCAGGCGACAAAGGCTCGGAAATGTTCGTCTCCAAGCAGGGCAAGTTCCGAGTTCTCATTAAGGGCAAAACAGTCGACGAGTTCAGCGAGCCGCGAGTTTTCGGCGAACTTGCGCTACTTTACAATGCCAAAAGGTCTGTAGATGCGAACAGCGCCTTCAGAAGGGTTACAAAACCGCAAATTCCAGATTAGCCACCATTCAAGCCCTTAGCGAAGGGCAGGTTTGGGTGCTGGATCGCGTGGCTTTCCAGAGGATCGTCATCCGGTTCGACCGGAAGGAGCAGGACCAGTACTTGCAGTTTTTGCGCAATGTTGAGTCTTTGCAGACCGTGGATGAGGACGTGTTGTTGCAGGTCTCCAAACTGTTCAAAAAGGAAATTTTTCCTGCTGGTACCGTCATTGTGCGCCAAGGCGATAAAGGGGATAAGTTTTACGTTATACGTGCAGGTAATGATGGACGGTTGATGGGGAAATTATCCTGCAAAGGAGGGTTTAACGGAGGTGTTTCAATGCAGGCACGGTAACCATCACGAAAAATGGCACAGTATTGGGAAAGCTGGGGAAAGACAAGTGTTTTGGTGAAATGGCTCTACAGAAGGAGGACACGAGGTGAGTTTTTGCTTTTAGAGATTTAAAATCCTGCCGCTTCGAAGAACTTCCTCAAATCTTAATCTCCATAAAGTATTTTTGAAGCGTCCTTAAAAGCTCTGTATAGGTATGTGCATCGCAAGGAAGTGAGGAACTCAGAAA